ATTTACTTCTGATTTCCAACAAAAACTGCCCATTGGCTAAAATGGGTTTGCTTAACAACTTCTGCATCTGCTTAATGCTTGCTTCGAGATTTGCTGGCTTCATCCATTGTGCTAAGACATGGTTTGAATGGAGTGCAAATAAACCAGGGATAATAAACCACAATCCCACTTGCTTACCAACCCAGAGATGGGCAACTATGGCAAATTTATGACCTGTGGACGTCAACTTCAATTCCTGACCATGGCTGGATAAGGAATTCTGGGAGCTGAAGTCCACAAGTTGTAAAGTTGCCATTGTTAACCAGCCCTGTACTAACCCAAAATAGGCAAATTTCAGGCATGGCCTGAATCTGCCCAAAGATTGAGAACTCTCATTCCTAAAGGCAAACATTAGCACATTTGTCCATGTCGCTGAAACACCCACAGTCCCCATTGCCATGAATCCATGGAAGGAAAAAAGGAAATTGCATCTCCCTAAAACTGCCATTCCATTCCCAAAAAAGAGGGTTCTGTGGCCCAAAGGTGCTTTTTCAAGAGGCAACTGCGCGAGCTGCACTGGCTCCCAGTGGTCTTCCGGGTGCGCTTCAAGGTGTTGGTTATCACCTTTAAAGCGCTCCATGGCATAGGGCCTAGCTATCTTCGAGACCGCCTGCTGCTACTACGACCTCCCAGCGACCCGTGCGCTCCCACAGAGAGGGCCTCCTCAGGGTGCCATCAGCCAAACAATGTAGGCTGGTGACCCCCAGGGGGAGAGCCTTCTCTGTGGGGGCACCTACCCTCTGGAATCAGCTGTCCCCAGAGATAAGGAGAATCCAAGACCTCAGTGCCTTCCGCCGTGCCCTTAAAACCCACTTTTTCCAGCAAGCCGGGCTGGCTTAGGAAGAAATTTTAAAAAATTTTAAATGTTTAATTGGTTTGTGGTTTTTTTAAATTTTGGGCCAAATTTATATAGATTTTAATTGTTTTTAATATTTGTATTTCATGTTTTTAATTCTCAGGGCGGCTGTGCACCGCCCTGAGTCCTCAGGGAGAAGGGCGGTATATAAATTGAAAATAAATAAATAAATAAATAAATCTGGATTTTTGTGCTTTTCTTTGAAGACGTTTCGCTTCTCATCCAAGAAGTTTTTTCAACTCTGGATGGTGGGGAATGGAAGGATTTATATTCCTTGCAGTCATCTGGTCATTTGCATTGTTTTTAGAGAGTCATTGAGGCCACTAGGAGGTTTGTCTGTGTCCTCGGGGTCACCTGAGGAGTGCAAATGGGTGCGGAGTCGCCTTGGAACTGCTGAAAGGACTGTGTTGTAGAGTTGTGCTAGTAGGATGTTTTCTGCCCTGTGTCCCTTCACTATTGAACACAGGTGCAGGTTGTTGGGGATGGGTCTGTGTTGCCTTCATCTCAAACTGAAGTGCAAATGTTTCCTGTAGTCTGCAACTTTTGGGGAAATCCGTTGGTGTGGGAGAATGAATGGATTTCCAGAAAAATTGCAGACTACAGGAACCATTTGTGCTTCAGTTTGAGATGGAGACACAGATTCATCCCCAACGGCCTGCACCTGTGTTCAACAGTGTAAGGGACACAGGGCAGAAAACATCCCTAAGGAAACACAGCTCCACAACCACACAATCTTTTCAGTAGTTCCAAGAAGACTCCACACCCATTGCATTACTCAGGTGACCCTGACAAACCTCCCAGTGGCCTTAACGACTCAAAGAATGCAAATGACCAGCTGTCTGCAAGGAGTATAAAATAAATCCTTCCATTCCCCACCATCCAGTCAGAGCTGAAGAGCTTTCTTGGATGAGAAGTGAAACGTCTTCAAAGAAAAACCAGGAAGTCCAGTTGCCTCTTGAAAAAAACACCTTTGGGACAATCATCGCCTGAAGGACTGATTATCTCCATAGACAGAGGGCTGTGTGGCCTTCAGAGTTTCTTCCTCCTTGAAGCATAGAAATGTTCTGTACCATTTGAGAACATGAAGTTTGCATCACTGGCCCTTTTCTCTGCTGATACTGTATTGTCATTGGTCTAATCACTATCTAAATCCAGTCTAAATCCATTCCATTCCATTCCATTCCATTCCATTCCATTCCATTCCATTCTATTCTATTCTATTCTATTCTATTCTATTCTATTCTATTCTGGATGGAAACTGATCAAGGAGAGATTCAACCTAGAAGTAAGGAGAAATTTTCTGACAGTGAGAACAATGGAACAGGGGTTGCCTTCAGAAGTTGTGGGAGCTTCATCACTGGAGGCTTTCAAGAAGAGATTGGACTGCCATCTGTCAGAAATGGTGTAGGGTCTCCTGCGTGGGGAGGGGGTTGGATCAGATCTACAAGGTCCCTTCCAACTCTGTTAATCTGTAATTGTAATCATTATGACCTGTGTTGCGATCTCCCAAGTTGCTAGCAAACTTGATTATGTTGATTGTGGGATGTTGTGGGTATTCTTGCCTGCTATTTTATGTTATTTACAATTTTGGTTGTGTTTTTGTACTGTTTTTACTCTTGTTTGTAATGGTTAGTCACGTGGTCAAGTATATGAGATGGGTGGCTGTATTTATTAAATAAATAAACAAAAGATTGGTGAATGTACACTGCTCCAAGGATAAGTTGCTTTCCTCCACAATGGAAGGGCTCTTCGGGTAGTCATCGACTTAATAACCGTTTAGTGACAGTTTGAAGTTACAATGGCACTGAAAAAAGTGACTTATGACCATTATTCACACTTACGACCTTTGCAGCATCCCCATGGTCATGTGATCAATATTTGGCAACTGGCTCATATTTATGATGGTTTGCAGTGTCCCGACCTCATGTGATGAAAAGTCAATGGGGCAGCTAGATTCACTTAACAACCACAGTGTTCCACTTAACAACCATGGCAAGAAAGCTTGGAAAATGGGGCAAAACTCACTTAATAACTGTCTTGCTTAACAACAGAAATTTTGGGCTCAGTTGAGGACTACCTATATTTGGTTTCTGCATTACTGGAAGGGACTGTGGGCAGGCAGAGGAATGAAGTGGAGAAGGCAAGGGCGTTTCCTGATGGGAAGACTGACTTATATTTCACACAATCAATATTTCCATGATGTGAGGAGACAGGGCTTCCGGGAGATGTCGTGTTTTGTCCAGCAGCCTTGTCAGAAATGGGTCATCTTGATCCAGCTTCAGCCTGCCTTGGCAACAGGCAGGCAGTGAGATAGAAGCTCCATGTGAAGCACACGTACTCCAGGAACACACAGGAAATAGGCTACCTCAGAGCTAGGAAAGGGAGGTAAATTTAGGTGTGAATGTCCTTGAAAGGATGAGAAGATTTTCTTCTCTTTCAACATTGTGCTTTGGGTTATAAAAGCCACATTAGGAAAGCATAGTTGGTGATTTAATGTTCATGTGAATGCATTTTATCTTTGAATGCATCAAAGGCAGGCGGGGTTTTGGCCCCTTTTTTAAAATCACTTTTTTTCATGCGAAAGACGTACATGGAGACAAGGTAGCCATGTTGCCATGGCAACAGGGTAGAATGCTTGGCTTAGATTTTCATGCTTTCTTCCCCCCGCCCCCCAAAAGTTGGGAGTAGTATTTTTAATATCTGTAAGTCTGTGTAACTGTTTACCTATTACCTTTCATTTCCTATGATAATTTGGGCAATTGAGTACAAGACTTTGTGGTTAGGATTTAGCAGTGTGATCTTGGCAGACACAAGATTGCAACGTTAAAGTGCCGTTTGCAGACTCTACATCTCCAAAATATATGAGCAGTGAGATACATGTCCCCATCTATTTCCTTTGGTTAGTGTTAATTTTGCACTTTATGAAGTGGTTGGATGAATAAACTGAGAAGTTAAGATTTTCAAGCCCAGTATCATTTTAAAAATTGAGAGAGAATGGGGGTGTTTAGCAGTATAATGGATCTTAGATGTTATGAAGGCTATTTTAATTTTTTTCTGAATTTATTGAGAGGTTTAATGGCTACTACGGTTAGGACTCCTGTTTCTCCTCCAGGCCCCACCACCTCTTCTGAAATAGCCCAGTACAAGCAAATCAAGTTATTCTTTTACAGGTAATCCTTGACTTACAACCATAATTGAGCCCGAAATTTCCGTTGCTAAGCAAGACAGTTAAATGAGTTTTGTCCCATTTTATGATCTTTTTGTTGCAGTTGTTAAGCGAATCGTTGTCGCTATTAAGGGTATTATACAATTATTAAGCGAATCTGGCTTTCCCCATTGACTTTGCTTGTCGGAAGCCAGCTGGGAAGATTACAAATGGTGATTACAGGTCCCTGGGATAGTGCAACCGACATAAATACTGCCAGTTGCCAAGCACCCAAATTTTAATCATGTGACCGTGAGGATGCTACAACAGTCATAAGTGTGAAAACCAGTCATAATCAGGGGTGGGCTGCTGGGGGTTCGCAGGGGTTTGGGAGAACCTCTAGCTAAGATTCTGTGCAGTTCAGAGAACTCCCAAATCCCACTCCTGGCTGGCCCCGCCCACCCCACCCCGTCCTTCCTAGGAATCCCCACACTGCCCATTTTGGATGCAGGTAAGTGCAGGGTGCGCACGGAGGCTCAGGGAGGGCGAAAAACAGGCCTACCAGAAGTTCAGGAAGGCTGGAAATGGACCTGTTTCCAGCCTTCAGAAGGCCTCCGGAGCCTGTTTTCGCCCTCCCATAGGCGCAAAGAAAGCCTCCAGAGCCCAGGAAGGGCAAAAACGCCCCCCTGCCATGGTGCAGGAGGCCGACTAGGCCACGACCACCATGGCCACGCCCACCCAGCAACTGGATAAAGAACCCCTTGCTAAAATTTTTGAAGCCCATCCCTGGTCATAAGTCACTTTTTTCAGTGCTGTTTTAACTCTGAACGGTCACTAACTGAGTGGTGGTAAGTCAAGGACTACCTGTATTTGAGAACAGGTGGGTGGTTAGAGCTTGTTCATCTCTCTCTCTCTCTCACACACACACACACTCACTCACCGTCTTCCTCTTGGTTATAGGTGGAATGGAACAGTCATGAATGGCGATGCTTTTTGTCAAGAACCTCCCTCCCAGCTTCCTGACTGGCGGGAATTCTGTGAGCTCCATGCCCAGGCTGCTGCAGTGGACTTTGCTCAGAAGTTCTGCCAGTTCCTGAAGGAAAATCCCCACTACGACACTCCTGGAGCCGAGACTTCCTTCTCTCATCATTTTGCAGCAAATTTCTTGGACATCTTCAGCCTGGAGGTCAACAGGGTGTTTGTGTCCAATTCTCCTACGAAGTATAACATTGTCCCGTTTGTGGGCCTTCAGAACTGCCACATGCCTTATGGACGGGATCTCTTGCCAAGAAAAGAGCAGACTTCCGTGGAGTCTCTAGACAGCATGGACCACACACTCACCTCCAGCAGGTACTTGAGCCAAACCCAACAGGCTCAGGCAAGAAAAGTCTCCTCGTACGGCCAGTCTCGAAGCTCCGAAGATGTCTCTGTCCACAGTTCTTCCAAGACAAAATTCAAGAAAGGTTTTTCTCTGAGGAACATGAGCTTGTGCGTGGTGGACGGCATGAAGGAGATGTGGCATCGGCGGTCTTCTCCCGAGCCAGGTGCAGAATCCATGCAGAGCAAACAGTCTGAGAGGGAACACTGTCCTCCTGTTAGCAAAGAACATAGCGATTCCAGAGAGAAATGGACCCACAAACTCTGGCTTTCCAAGGGCCAATCTTCTAAAGTGGATTTAGTGGACATTCAGAGAGAGGGAACCCTTCGCTACATGGTTGCCGATGACACAAACTGTGTGGGTACCTCTCAGTGGCAAAAATGCCGTTTGCTACTAAGGAAAGCAGTGAAGATGGAAGGGGAAAGGTTCCTTCTCGAGTTCTATGTTCCTCCTAAGGTAACAGTCTTCATTACTGAAGTTTTTGCGTGTAGTTTTTCCAGGTAATTCAGCTGGTAGTCATACAGGTAATTTTCCAGGTAATTCAGCTGGTAGCCATACAGAAGCCTGCAGATTAAAATGTACAGAAACAGTGGAGAATCAAACACTCCTTCATGTGGTCAGCTTCCATTTACTAGTGAAATTCAGGAGTTCCTTTTATGCGGTACAGATACTCCTTGACTTACAACAGTTCATTTAGTGACCGTTCAAAGTTACAACGGCACTGAAAAAAGTGAGTTATGACCATTTTTCACACTTATGACCGTTACAGCATCGGTCACATGATTTACATTCAGATGCTTGGCAACTGATTCACATTTATGACGGTTGCAGTGTCCCGGGAGTCGTGGGATCCCTTTTTGTGACTTTCTGACAAGCAAAGTCAATGGGGAAGCCACATTCACTTAACAACCGTGTTACTAATTTAATAACTGCAGTGATTCACTTAACAATTGTGGCAAGAAAAATCGTAAAATGGGTCAAAAACAAATTTCTCACTTAACAACATTCATTTGGGCTCAATTGTGGTCGTAAGTTGAGGACTACCTGTATTTGCAGGAATATAAACCATTCCGTGGGACTTGTGCGTACCTAAATGGGGAACTAATTGATGGCAAAGGATCTCACGTTTGGTTATACAAATGTGACATGTACTGTTACATGACATTTATGACCATAGAGAAACTGGCTCAACAACTGTGGGACATGTTCTGAATCACTTGTCACTTTGGATAACTTTTCAAAAGTATCCCGACATCCAAAATGCCCCTGCGACCTAATATAAGTAGTCCTTGACTTACAACCGCAACCGAGCCCAAATGTTCCATTGCTAAGCAAGACAATTAAGTCAGTTTTGCCCCATTTTATGACCTTTCTTGTACAGTTGTTAAGTGAATCACTGCAGTAATTCATTTTACTAAGTAATTCAACTTAGTAATGTGAATCTTTACAACTAAGTTGTACAGTGAATCTGGCTTCTCCATTGGCTTTGCTTGTCAGAAGGTTGCAAAAGATGATCACATGACCCTGGAATACTGCAACCATCATAAATATGAGCCAGTTGCTAAATATCCTAATTGTGATCACGTGACCATGGAGATGTTGCAACAGTCGCCAGTGTGAAAACTAATCATAAGTCAAATGTCTATGGAGCTTCTCAGTCATCCAGGTCATGGTTGTCCCAAAGGTGCTTTTTCAAGAGGCAAAGACGTTTCACTTCTCATCCAAGAACCTTCTTCAGAGTGGAAGAAGCTTCTTAGATGAAAAGCGAAATGTCTTCAAAGAAAAACAAGAAAGTCCAGTTGCCACTTGAAGAAGCACCTTCCGGACAATCATAAATCACTTTTTTCATAGCTGTTGTTATGTCAGCCTATCATTAAATGAATGGTGGTAAGTTGAGCACTATCTGTATAAAAGTAGCTAAGTACGAATGACAAAATAAAGAGTTGTAGTGTAATATTAACATGTGGGTAATCTTTGCTACTTGTTTTTTCGTCCATCCACACTTAAAAAAAAAAAATAGATTGTGGGGAAATGTTTTGCTATTTCCATGTTTAAAATTAAGTAGGTCCTGATGTATGTGGGTCAGATGATATGGTAGCTTCTCCCATTTCAGTAACTCTGTATCTTGTATCTCCATCTGAGCGCTCTTAATTGAGTTGTTCATTATTTCAGCACCTGTAAGATTCTTGGATGACTTGACTATTCTGGAATAGATAATGCCAACGTTTGGTTTTTTGGAGCCCCATATAGTCTTGGCAACTTCCAGTTTGTTGTCTGTGAAATTAGCAAGCGCTGTATCAGATGCTTCCTTCTCAAACTGCTTTGGCGTGCAGGTCTTCCAGATGTCAGTGTTCAAAAATAGTGCAGAGTGCAACCTGAGAGGTCTTGAGCTTCATGAGATGATTAATGTTGATTTTTTCTTTCTTTTTTGTGAGCCATATGGATACTTTGTGCTGATCCCGGATGATCGCTGAATACTTCTTTCATTACAAAATGGAGGGGTGGTTATTTTTTCCCATCAGTTTCTCTGTAGCAGATCTGAATCTGCTTTATTCTCATTTTTCACCACAGTTATACAGGTCGTCCTCAACTTAACAACCACAATTGAGGCCAAAATTTCTGTTGTTAGGTGAGACATTTGTTAAGTGAGTTTTGCTCCATTTTACAAGCTTGCTTGCCACAGTTGTTAAGTGAATCACTGCAATTGTTAAGTTAGTAACAGTAACAGAGTTGAAAGGGAGGTCATCTAGTCCAACCCCCCTGCTCACGCAGGAAACCTATATGTGGGATTCGAACCACCAACCTTTCTGATCGGCAAGCTCAGCATCTTAGCCTCTAAGCCATTTAGGGAGCCACAACAACAGTTGTTAAGTGAACCTGTCTTCCCCATTGACTTTGCTTGTGAGAAGGTCGCAAAAGGGGATCGCATGACCTTGGGACACAGCAACGGTCATAAACACGAACCAATTGCCAAGCGTCTGAATTTTAATCACATGACCATAGGGATGCTGCAAAGGTCATAACTGAAAAAACGGTCATGTTACATTTTTCAGTGCCATTGTAACTTTGAATGGTCACTAAACGAACTGTTGTAAGTCAAGGACTACCTATATATAGCTTTTTTAAAAATATATGGCTCAGATAGGATAGGCCCCTTTATTAGCAATTTAATGTTGAATCCGAATCTTAAATTGGTTGATCAGGCTAGCTTTTTCCAGGAAAGCATAGAGACTTCCACTAGACAAGCCTTCTCCATGAAGGTACTTTCCAGACAACCTCTGGAATTTGATCATGCATTTGATCATGCTTGCCAGAAATTCTGCGACTGTAGTACTAATCCATCTGGAGGTCATCAGGTTGGAAAAGATTAAACAGTCTGCTATCTGTTGGCAGAAAAGATGACTGTAGCTCTCTAGAGCAAAATGAAATGAAGCAAAGCAAATTCCTAAGTTGCAAGCAAAATTGTTCCAGCAGCTCCTTACAGTGGCATAGAAGGAGGAAAGGGGACTAAGAGAATATACAAGCTTAGGGCTCCCCTTGAATCATCCCTATGATGATCAAATAATTGTTTATTACTTTCAAATACATCTTCCTTATATCTATGTAATTATATATACTGAATCAGATTACAGATCCATCAAGCACAATATTGAGTAGCTGCTCTCCAGACTATTTCTGGCAAAAGTGAATTAGAAACATTGCAGATCTAAATAATTTCCATTGGCACATCTAGTGGAGGCCACCTGGGATCTTCTGCATGTAAAAAAACCCCTGGACTTTCCCACTTGTTATGACAACCTGAGATACCGTATTTGTGAATAATAATATCTGTTGCAATACTTGTAGCTCTCCATAGTATAAGGCAAAAGTTTTCTTAAGCTTTGCTACTTGAAATTCTTACGGTAGAAGCATTATCGTATTTTTCAGACTATAAGACATACCTAGATTTAGAGGAGGAAAGCAAGGGGGAAAAAGTTTTGGGCCTCCGCACGTCCCGTTTTCACCCTCTCCAGCCCCCAGAAGCACTTTGCCTCCCGAACCCTCTGCGCATCCTGTTTTTGCCAAAAATGCACCCGTTTTTGGCCTGCAGAGTGCTTCTGGGAGCCGGGGAGGGTGAAAACAGGATGCATGGAGGGTTCAGGAGGCCAAAAATGGGTCAGTTTTAGGCAAAAATTGGATGTGCGTAGCACTGCAGAATGCTTCTGGGGGCCGGGGAAGGCGAAAACGCGATGTGCTGAGGATTTGGGAGGCCAAAGGTGGGCCATTTTTGGTGAAAACAGGCCCGTTTTTTGCAAAAATGGGACGTGCGGAGCACTGCAGAGTGCTTCTGGGGGCTGGGGAGGGCGAAAACATGACACGCAGAGGGTTCGGGAGGCCAAAAACGGGTCCGTATTCGGTCTATAAGACGCACCAAAATTTTCCCCCACTTTTGGGGGTGGGGGAAGTGCATCTTATACTCCGAAAAATATGATAAATTTGGAACTCTGAATGTGCAAAGCAAGTGCTCTGTGGAATATGGTTCATCATGCAGTGCTCAAACCATTAGAAACTGGCCTATAAAAAACAATCATAATCTTCCCATTTCCAAGATTTACCCATGTGATTGATTGATTTATATCCCGCCTTTAATATTTTTATAAATAACTCAAGGCAGCGGACATACAATATTCCTTCTGTTTTCCCCACAACAACAACCCTGTGAATTGGGTTCGGTTGCAGGAGAGTGACTGACCAAAATCCCCCAGTCAGCTTTCATGCCAAAGGCAGGATTAGAATTCACAGTTTCCTAGTTTTTAGCCTGGTGCCTTAACCACTAGACTTAACTGGTGCACAATGGTACTTCTGTTGAATTCTTTCCTAATTTATTTTTTGCATTCCTTGTAGTACTTGTTTACTACATTTGAATTTGTTATGGCTGCTCCCTCCAATTTACTCTGGGCAGCTTACAAAATCATAATACACCATTTAAGCGGCTAAAAGCATAAAAAATAAAAACATAATGTGTCAGCCCGGACCACAAACAGCCTTAACAATAAAAAATATCACAGGGGGCCCTCATTAATTGCAGACTTCAGAACCGAGCCAGGTTTGAAGTGTTTTCTGGAACTCCAGAAAAGTGGGCACCATCTATATCTCCGGGGAAGGGGAGATAATCTTCCAGAAGGCAAGTCCAGAGTGACAGAAAATGCATGCTCTTTGGTTCCATAGAATGTCAGACTTTAATTGAGGGACCTGGCGTGTGCTCACTCTGCCCAGATGTACTAAGTGGGCAGAAACAATGATCTCTCAGATAACCAAGGAATGCCAGGAAGAGCTTTATAGGTAACAACTAGCACTTTGAACTGCACCCAGAAGTTAACTGGCAGCCAATGCAGCTTGCATAACTTGTGGTGCCAAATAACCATAGTGTGAAGTGCCTGTTACTTCTCATGCTGTTGCATTTTGAGCCAGCTGCA